CGTTCATTCGTTTAATCGATTTAATATTGAAAGTAGAAAAATGAGAAAACGGCTCCTTTTCCGTTTTTTTCCAAAAAACAAAAAAAACGAGAATTCATCTTAAATTAAAATTTTTCGTTCAGGGGTAGAAAAATGAATAAACAGCTTGAATATTCGATTTCTACAATTGGGCGGCAATTAAACGCCCCTTTCTGCTGATTGGTCAGCCAAAGATCAAACCGTGCCGTCATCAGTTCTTTCGCAGTTTTCACGCAGGAGAATAATAGTCCTTAACGCATTTATTGCAACTACATTTCATATTTTTTCATCAAACAAACAGACTAATGAATAGCTCGACACAACTCGTACAGGGGCAGAGTCTAGACAGGTCTTTCTTCTGTGTAGACCAGCGGTTCTTAAAGTGATATTTCACCTTTTTTCATCAAACAAACAGACTAATGAATAGCTCGACACAACTCGTACCAGGGCAGAGTCTATACAGGGCTTTCTTCTGTGTAGACCAGCGGTTCTTAAATTGATAGGGGGTCCGTGAAATAATTTGCTATAGCCTATCGTATTTTACAGACTGTAATGTCATTTTGAACGTAACGTTACACAAATAAAAATATACATTTTACCATACGACTATAAATGACCGATTTCCTTGATGGGGGAAAAATCCAAGTGAACATCAATCAGTAATTTAAACTGCTTTAATTATGACTGCTGCTTATTTCCTGTGCACTTCAATACTGGTCTGCGCTTGACTGTAGTCACATCTGTCTGCTTATTGAGTTTATTTAACTTAAGTTTATTCATCGCAATTTATTGGAACTGTGTGAACTAGAGTGACTACTCACCTTAATGTTGTTCTAAAGGCTTATTACTTTTTTTCAAAACACACACAAAAAATGTCCTGCTCGCACTTGCCAATTTAATGGCAGAGAATGGTGACTTTAGTTTTTTGAAGCGGATTCATATCTATCGTAAAATAATCCTATGCATCTCGTGGCGTATATTCCAAGCATTCTGAAGGTATACTTTAGTGAGAAACAAACCGAAATGGCAAGTTATTACATTTTATTAAATTTTGCATTGCAGTCCTGTGTGCGAGCGCATATCCTTTTGAGATGAAGACAATTTATTATTCTTTCTTTTTTGTCTTAGTGTTTAAAATATTTATTTTGAAACAAATGAATTAATTAATTATTTACTTAATTAAACAAACAGACTTACTGGGCGAGCAGGGTAGGCTATGACAGTCGTCATATCATACCCTGCCATGCCCAGCTGATGAAAAGAATATAATTATATCTACACAGAAGAATGCAGATTCTTTCGTCTGTAGAACACAAAATTAGACAAGCTGAAGAATCTTGATGCAACTCTTTTCCATACGCCAAGAGTTAAAAATTACACATAAACTAGTGGTCCATATGACTTGTGCACTTTATGCTAAGTCTTCGGAAGCCATAAGGTGGCTTTGTTAGGCTTAACAAATCAATCTGACTCTCAATTGGCCCAAAATAATGACTTGTTTACTGATCCAGTCAAGTTTAACTCATGGACTCAATTCAAAGAAAGATACCAAGCACCATTTGCAGCCTATACAAGCAGTTTTTCTCAAGTTTAGAACAACTTGAGGTTGAATAAATAATCACAACTAAAGTTTTGTTTAAATGTTCGCTGGTTCCCGCCTCCTTCTTCCCGGTCTACAAACGTTGTTACATATTTGTTTTTGGGTATTCCTTTAATAAGGATGGTGAGTTAGAATCCATCTACCCATTTTCCCCCTTTATCCCATAATTTCTCAAACAGGGCAAAAATCAGTAAAGTAAATTAAAATAAAACATCAATTTCTATAAAATGATCAAAATATTTACATAAATATGATTCAAATGTATTCATATAATTTAAATAAATTCATTTTTAAGGGTGTTAACATGCTCCATATCAAATTTCTACTTGAGAATGATGCAGTAAACCTTACCAGACCAAGCTAAGAATGATATCACCATAGACCAATCTGTTCTCTTTTATTTTTAGAATATTTCCTCAGAGCATCTAATCAGTGCACAAACCCCAGCAACACCAATGTCTCCCTGCCTGGCATCTTATCATACACTAGGGGCTTTTATCCCTTCTTCCAGTCATTAACAAGAAATAAGCGGATGGCAGTCTGGAAAAAAAAAAACAAAGCCATTCTAGTGGTTCTGCATGATGTCAGTGCTAAAAAGCATTTTCAGAGAGAGAGACTTGTACATTTCCAACAGTTCCGAGACTCATGGTATTTCAATCAAGAAAGGAGATACTGTTAACCAAAGGAACAGGGTGCTTTCAGTTCAGCTGGGATCAATTTAAGGACTTGCATAACTCTAAAACGTCTGCATTACTGGTTTCAAAGACTCTGCTCAAGGTGAAGGAACATAAACTGAGTTTTGGTTGGGCATTTAATTAACTGAAAGTGAAGCTGTAAAGTAAGTTTAAGATGACAGCTACACAATGCTCTAGACAGGTTGTCTGAACTCCTGCTAATAAGTGGCGAATATATCCCAAAGGTGTGTGACATGATCCTGCACCATCTGGCAGTCATCATAATAAAACTTTTAGGCAAACTTATGAAGTTAGAATTTTGAAATGTCAGGTATTTTATTATTTCATTACTGAAAACATTTTTAGTCAAATATTATGGCTACTTATGAATGGCCATCAATGGAGAAAGATGCTTTTTGCTGCCAGATGGTGTAGTTATGACATTTACCATCAAGGGCTAACAAGGCCATGTGAACATGTCAGACTTTTGATTTGGCCAAATTTGGAGTGGGAGTTTAGGATCTGTTGTCTGACCAATGGCAGAGGTATATTTGAGGAAACCTGTTTGAAAACACTCATTATTATTATTAGAGATGGGAACCAAAAACCATTCTATACCATTTTCTTAAAAAAAATAAATAAATACACATACACTACCATTTGGGATCAGTTAGATTTTTTTTTGGTTTTTTTTGTTTTTTTGTCATATGCTCACCAAAGCTACATTCATCAACAATACAGTAGAAATAGTAGTAATACTGTGTAAATGTTCCTATTATTATCAATGTTGAAAACAGTTATGCCTAATATTTTTGTGGAAACTGATCATTTTTAGGATTCTTTAATGCATAGAAAATTCAAAAGAACATCATTTATTTGAAATAGAAATCTTTGCAACAATGTAAAACTTTTGAACAATTTAATGAATCTTTGCTGAAATTAAAACTCTTAAAAAAAAAAAAAAAACTACTGACCACAATAGTAGTGTAAAGAATATATCCTTTAAATATAATATTTACCAAATACAGAACTGCATGAGGTGTATTTTATGAAAATTTGATTTACAAAAAGTAAAAAGTCATTTAAAAGTTAGTGTAAACACATTTTGCAAGAATACGTTTAAATTGACTACTTATTGAATTTCTTCCATTGGTAATAAAATGACATTTCTTTTTTTTTTTTTCAAATATTTATTACTTAAAAGAATTGTTAATTGAACCACTAAGGAAATGGAATCATTAAAGAGTAATCAGACTCAGAACCAGAAATAAACCATTAAATCTCTTTACGATTCCCATCCCTACACATTTCATCTTAAAATAGTACATTATCTGAGAGCATCATAGTATGATCCATTTGATCTTAGTGCAGCTGATGTTCAGAATACTAGAAGCATCAGACCAATAACTTGATGCAAAGCTATTTTAATGTCTTAAAGACCCAACCATTTTTTAAAAACATGCATGTCAATTTAAATTAAATATGTCTTTGTGCATTGTGATATCATACTCAATAACCATTGATCTTAGAGCAGAGGGCAGACTATAGCATGTGACATAAAAATAAGGTATGTTGTCCTTGCAATGCCAATGCAGAGCTTGTATGATGTCATCGGCCACTCTGACAATGATGTGTCGGTACATTTTATCAGTCACAGAGTAAGTTATCTATACGCCCATTTCACAAATGAACAAAGCGAATTAAATCTCAGCTTCTGGTCCATTAACACAGGGGTGAACCCAAGGATTTAGGAAGGATGTGTGTTCCTACATTTCATCAAAGTGCTTTTAATAAGAGCATTCGGTTGAAGGCCAAGCATTGTCCTTCTAAAAGTGACACATTTACAAAGCCTAGAGCCGAGGCGGCCCGAGAAATTATTTTGCATTCCCCATTGTGAACAAAGATATAAACCATGCCCTTCAGGTCAATCATTAGTCCCTGTTCTATACTTGTCTGATACTTTGCAAGCCGCATGTTTAATTTGTTGATTCATGGCATAGTGGCAGTCCATCCAAGGGATTAAAACCTCAAGCAATAACCCCGTTATTAAAACACTGCTTTCATAGACTTATAACCTCCCACCCTCCACAAAAAGTGCATGCGATTAAAAACTAATCGCGTAAAATAATTTATCAAAAGCGCCACGATGGTTCCCACTCAAGACCTTTGCTTCTTAATTATTCATTCTCGCAATTAGGCAACTTACTATGTACTGAGTGTGAGGGGCCCATGCAATATTAATAGTGATGCATAATTATGTAATACATTCCAGACATAACAAGCTATATATCCACAGTGGGCTTGTCAAGATAAAGACATTTTTATTTGCTTTATAAGATTGTTTCATCTCCAAGAGGGTCTTGGTGGATAAAAGAGCCACAACTGCAGGGGTTTTAGTGACCTCCCATATTACTTCTATCAAGTTTAAGACACACAAACATCAGGAAAGTATTCCAACACAACAGGCAGTCTTGCTATCAAAGTGCACAGAATGCATCAAAGGCTTACCTTAAAGAAAAAAATATGGATGAACCGCAGAGTCTGTCAACAAGGGAACAAATAGGGCCCCTGAATTAGGATGTAGAACGCAGTGCATGCATCAAAGGCTTACCTTAAAGAAAAAAATATGGATGAACCGCTGAGTCTGTCAACAAGGGAACAAATAGGGCCCCTGAATTAGGATGTAGAACGCAGTGCATTGTGTGATAAATTATAAATTATGTTCATGCCAATATTGGAAGATTATTGAAGGTCTTCATGGTGCCTGAAGCAAATATGGAACCCCATCTACAATGGACTCGCTGGAGAAGTTTGGCTTTCATCTCGAGATATGCATCAAAGCTCGCTTCGAACAGAGAAAACTGGCAATCAAACTAATGTGTAACCGGGCAGTTGTGCACTTCACAAAGCCCATCATCAGAACAGCAGCTGAGATCACACAGAGACAGTGCCGTCTGCTCATACAAGGTCTTCCGAACATTATTTTTTTCCATGTTAGAAGCTATGGCGAGATGCTTTGAAAATCTTTAATGTCTTGCTTGTGGCATGCGAGTGAACATCCTCATCGACCAGAAATCTTCATATATACGAATAAAACAGAAAGCTTCAGAATAACTCTTCTTGTTCAAATCTTCATCTTGGATTTGTAATTTGTAAGGACAGCACATAACTCTTTGATAATATTTTATGTTCACATCTAATCTCACATTAAATACAACGAACTGAATATACTTCTAAATGCTCAACAACTTTTCATTCAGTACATACCTGTTACTTAAAAGCCATTAGGTCCGCAGTTCAAGGTTACTTTTTTCTTTTCTGAATAAATGCAAAAAGAAAATGTGACATAAATTAGAAAATACAATATTATTAATTCAGAGCGACAAGTTCAGAGTGAGCTTGACATGGCAACCCACTCCACAGGCTACTGATATAACTAAAAGTGCATTATTTATATAAAAATTATATTATTCATTCATAGAAGTGTGAAACTTTTTAAGGCAAGACACCCCAGGTGAATAGAGTAAAGAATTTTTAAATATCACCATACTACTCCAGTTAACTGATTACATTAAGAATTGCAAAAAATTTTTGTATTACAAGTTTTCTAAAATGTTATGTTTAAATATGCAAATCTATCTAATTAAATATGCACTAATCTGCATCAATTTCCAGAACAGAAATCTGAACATTGGATAAAGCAAAGTTCAAAATTCTTCATTTTGACATATTAAAGGTTTGTATTCACTCCATAAATCGTAAAATACTGTTAACAGTATTGTTAACATGCTTTTAGGATTAAAATCTAAAATCTGGCATACAGTATGATATACGGACAAACCCCTCAGTAAAAAACCTTCAAAATATAGATGAGAATAAAACTGTTAAGTGCTCCTGAAGTGGAGATTTGTGGCTCAGTGCAGGGGAAAAAAATGTATTTGAGAAATGCTCCATCCGTCCCTCGGGTCATTTTGACCCGAACATTTTTTTCAAAAAAATTCAAAAAATCGTGTAACTCCATAAATCGTAAAATACTGTTAACAGTATTGTTAACATGCTTTTAGGATTAAAATCTAAAATCTGGCATACAGTATGATATACGGACAAACCCCTCAGTAAAAAACCTTCAAAATATAGATGAGAATAAAACTGTTAAGTGCTCCTGAAGTGGAGATTTGTGGCTCAGTGCAGGGGAAAAAAATTTATTTGAGAAATGCTCCATCCGTCCCTCGGGTCATTTTGACCCGAACATTTTTTTCAAAAAAATTCTAAAAATCGTGTGTTGATCGTACTGGTCCAAGATTTCTTTACTTTTGTCACACTTGCACCGGGAATACACACAAAACATTTTTTTGAATGGATGCAAGGAGTTTAAATGGGTGCAATAAAAAAAGTAACAAAACTGCATTTTTCATTACATTTGATTTTTTTTTTTGATATACAAAATCTGAGACAATCCAGTAAAGATTTATACCCAAACGAAGGGCTGAGACTACAGAATATCCCCAATGCATAAAAAACTCACATACACACACACACACACACACACGCACAAACACACACATGGTACACACACTCTCATAGAACACAATGTAATATTTTTCATGTTTCTGCTGGGTCATTTTTCCATTTTTTTTTTACTTAACACAGTTAGATTTTAGTGATGTGGTGGAGACCATTGAGTTTATATCATATTTATATTTTTAAAAATATATTATATATTTATTTCATATTTATGAAATTGTATGAATATACATATGTTTAGAAAATAATAGAAAAACCTACATAAAAAATTATTTTAAAAAAATTATAAAAATGTTCCAATATTAAGCTTTCTGGACCAAAAATAAAATTAGTGTCATTTTTGGCCTTCGGGTCATTTTGACCCGAGAGGGACACTATTGTTATAGGTTCGGGAGGGACGGAGATGTGGATTGAATGCAAAGATAAAGTGCAATAAAATAAACTCTTGTATTTTTGATGTTTTCTTTCCACTAGTCTGTTATGTAAATCCAAATAGCCCAAAATCTCAAATCTGACTAGTATATGAAAAAAAACAATGTTTTGCCTAGTGTCTTGCCTAAAATAGGAATAAAAAAGTAGGTTAAACCATTCAAAAATCATTTTGTGGAAACTGTCTGATAGGACATTGAAAGTGACACCATAACATATGATACACCCACACATTACATGACTACTGCATATTACATGATTGGTGTTCATTATTCCTGTTGTATGAAAGAAGATACAAAGTGGTGTGGTACACATTGCAGATCATGTAATACTACACTAAATGAGCGCTAGGCCCCAGCCCCAATCACAATCCAAAGAAAACATGGATGTACTTTTACATCTGTGAAGAGTTTCCTGTTTCCAATGGACACTGAAGTGCTGCCATCCATTTTGAGGTCTGGTATGGATTAGACATTTTGATATTAAACAGGCAGGTTTCAGAAGTCTTCCTCTTGAGTAGAATACTAGATTTTAACTTAGAACCAAAACGAAAGAACTTAAAAAAACTACAGTATGTGAAATACAAGAAATCACAGCTGTGAAATGCCAAGCACAAACAAAATATCTTGCATCTAGTGTCATTCAGATGTTTACGCCCCCATATCTAGTGCAGAACTTGCCATGAAAACATCTAAATGACTTTATCTCTTCCAGTTATTGCATGAGAGATAAAGCTATTAAGAGAATGGGAAACAAATGGAAGCTTTAAAGGCTAAATTTACATAGAAAATAAAGGAGGCATGCTGAGATGGTGTTTGGTGTCCATCATATGCAGGATAATGGTGCGGTTATATTCACCCAGGAGGCCATGCCTGCATTTGTTAAGCTTATGGCTTCAACCTATACAATTCTGGTATGGAACTGGTCAAGTTTGACAGCTCCTCAGCTCTCATGGACTTATGGGATAGCATAAGTGTCTATATTAGCATAAGTGTCTATATTTGCATCCCAGCAGATGCAGCATGTCATCTTAGTATCGCTGAGTTTTTGAACATCCTACTTAATTGAGGTAGTGTTTGTTGCATAAGGTATAGTATGGAAGTACACATACAATGTAAAGGTAGTTGTAAATTATTAAATATATTCAAGGAAGATGATCAATCACAATTAGGTATGCAAAAAGATGTAAAAAAAAAAGAAGAAGAGCAAATAAGTGATATTAAGTATTATTATTATTGTTGATTATTATAGTTTTTATTAATAGTTTAGATTAGTTTTTTATTTTTATATTTCTCATTTTAATTGTAGCAACTTTCAAATTTTTATAATTATCTTAGATATGTCTACATGTTTATTTTTTTATTATTATTTCAGTTTTAGTTTGAGTTATTTTAGTACACCAAGTTAAACAAAATTAAAATGAGAAATGTTTCATCCATAACTGACTTCAAATAAGCTTTTATTTTATTTCAGTTAAGGTTTATTTTATTTGAAGTAAAAAAAATAAAAAAAATGATTTTTAATAAAAATAGATATTTTCATGATTTTAGTTTGATAAACGTCGCAAGGACATAGATGTTGGGTACATTCTGAATGTTAAATATTCATTTAATATTCACTGTGATGATCTCATATGGTATCAATAGCTGGATGGTGTTTAAACTGTTATTTTGTAATCAAGAACATGGTGATATATGATTAGTGTATTAGTGGTCTCTTTATAAGTGTATCATGTACACTTGCATCCCAGGCTGTTGTTTTACCAGGCATTTAGGAACTTACCCTTTAAAAACTTAGACATATGCGATCGTATTCCACACTTCTCTGAGGACATCTCCTCCCCCTTGGTGTCCTGAAAACATAAATCAGAATCTCATCCTTTGATCTAATTATGTTTCAATGCAGTACGGTCCTCATTTAGTGAAGCTGTCAAGTATCGCCTTAAAATGATATATTAAAGTCAGGCTAATGCCTCTTTTGAAGTGAAAAGAAAGAAATATGGCTTTCACTCATGCACTACCACATGAGTACTACATAAATGATAATCAGCTCATTTAGGATGCTTAACAAATTGGTTTGTGTTTCTTCTATTTGGATTGCATTACGACAATATCTTTAGAGACTAAGTGTAGATCTAAGCATAGATTTTATGCTTGTAGCTAAAATTACACGATTAAAGGAATAGATCACCCAAAAATGAAAATCTGCTGGAAAATGTACTCGCACTCAGGCCATTTAAGCTGATGAGTTTGTTTGTTCATCAGAACAGATTTGGAGAAATTTTACATCACTTGCTCACCAGTGGATTTTATGAAGCTATACTTTTTGTGCAAAAAAAAAAAAAAAACGAATTTTAAATGACTTTATTGCCCAATTTCTTATCTTCTGTGTCAGTCTCCACTGCGCATTTATGAGAGTAACATGTGATTTTTTTACACACAAAAAGTATTCTCGTAGCTTCATAACATTATGGTTGAACCACCGATGTTGCATGGACTATTTTAACGATGTCCTTACTACCTTTCTGGGTCTTAAACGTGGTAGTTGCGTTGCTGTCTAGGGTCTGAAAGCTCCCAGATTTCATGAAAAATATCTTAATTTGTGTTCCGAAGATAAAACGAAGGTCTTACGGGTTTGGAACGACATGAGGGTGAGGAATTAATTACAGAATTTTCATTTTTGGGTGAACTATCCCTTTAACTGAAAATTTAGATTGACAGCTGTGATCAGCATTCACTTTCATTGTGTGGAAAGGAGCAGCCTGAACATTCTTCAAAACATCTTCTTTTGTGTTTTACGCAAGAAAGAAACAGGTTTCAAAAGACATGAGGGTGAATAAACAATGAAAGAAACTTGTGAAAAAGCATGGCAACATTTAAATATTTCTGTAACAGGGACTCAAGATGTTTTCTTAAGTGGCCCATTGGACAAAACCTGTGCATCTCCATCTGATTAATGACTAGCCACTGTCTAATAAACAGTAATTGAATGGTCTACTGCAGAGGCCTTGAAAGCCTGGGAGAGCTGCTCGCGGCCCGTTCTATCGTCTGGGGTTGATTATGGTTGACCTTGTGTGAAGCGCACTTTGAAACAGTGAGTCTAAGCTGGGGAACTGTAGCCAGAGAGCAAAGCAGAAGATAAATGAACAGATACTGTATTGACACGGCAAAAGGAGATCAATAATGTGATCAATATCTATTTGATTTTTATCACAAAACTCTGTGGAGGAGGAAGACGATTGATCAAAAGTGCCAGGACACTTCGACATACCTAACCATATTAATTAAGAAAAACTGCTTAGGTGACTGATTGCTAAATCAGTCAATATTGTTCAAATCAAAACAAATGATTTCTGCATTCGGATGTATAGCCTAATTCTTTCTCAGGATGGATTTACTGTAAGCTTTGTACTACAGTAATTGTCTTAACATGCTAAATGAGTCCTTAGGCATAGTTATTATGATAAGAGTTCATAGAAGTTAGAATAATTACTTGTTTAAATATTACGTTATAAACTATTGTGATTAAGTCAAGTTAAAGTATTTTATTGTTATGTGTTCCTAAACAAATGCATTTGATTATGAAAATTAAGTGATTCTAAATAGCATTTGAAAGCACAAATATACAGTGCACACCCAGTGTTGCTAATTGAAATAAAGCTGAAATAAAATGAAATATAAATATTAGTTGAAAAAAAAAACTAAACTAAATATATAAATTTGAAATGTTGGCTTAATGAAATACTAAATAAAACTAAATGAAATACACAAGTTCAGGTTGAAGTGCTAAAATTAATTTACTAATACTAAAACTGAAATAAATAAAAAATAAATATAAATAATAAAAATAAAACTAATATAAATGACAAAAGCACATAACAAAATTACTAAAACTTAAACTAGATTTAAAAATGAAAACTAAAAATATAAAAACAAAAGCTAATTCAAAATATTAATAAATACCACAGTAGTATAATGCTAAAAATAACTGTTCACAGCCATAGAAAAGTAACATTTAAATTATATAATTAATATAATTATTAATTTCATAACAGGGACTGATTTTGTTCTCTTTTCCATTCTCCCAATCACAAAACATACTTCAGCAGATTTATTTGTGATTTATCTGTAAGTAAATTGTATATAAATACCAAAGCATTGCATACACTTTACTGTAAACAACTGTAAACAATCTTGATGTCTTTATGACAGCTTAGCTTTTCTTTTATCTATGTGCTGGGGTTCAGTGTGTGTTAATGCAAATCAAAAATGGCATCATTTCTGTTAAGGAGGCTGTTCTGACTAAAACACTATCATATAATTGAATCTGTTCATCAATAAAAAGTGCAACTCTAGTAACAGTAGCAGGCGATATAATTCAAAGGCGCGTCAACGATGAGGTAATATTTATTTTGAAGCATGACTCATATATAGTGAATGAAATGTTTTAAGAAGCTTTCAAATATATCAAGCTTTTAAGAAGCCTTCTTAAATGACATGCTTTTAAACATCAGAGGGTCTATGGATAATAGCACTTTGTCACCAAAGCAGCATTTTTACATTATGATTGCTTGCCTACTTAGCTCGGGTTCTGTTGCAACAACATATTTGTTATGCTTTTTTCTCATGCGAACACAATAAGGCTGCCGTTGTAAAATATATCATAGATTAAAACTGTCACCTCAATATGAAATGCACAGCAGCTTCATAATAACTCATTATCACAAAATATCTAGGCCATAAGATGCACGTTACTGTCAGAATCTTATGAAATAGATCTGTTCGAGGTTCATAATCAAGCGTTACGATGCTGGATAATAAACACGGCCGGACAGGAAAAGAATTGCACGCAGCTATGTGTGCAATGGGAATACAAGCCTTCAGCGTGCGAATATTTATTGGACATTGTTGAGTGCTGGGGAACATGGTTAATGGTTAACATTACGCAGTCCTTCTGAGCAAGTCCTGCAAGATTAGCACTTACATGTCTTTAGTGCCGACACTGTGAACGGTCATAAAAAGGAGCCCTCATCCGCTCTTGTATATCAAATCATGTTTTGAGCGGTGATGATGATTCTGCCAATTAGTTGAGGCTGGACTGGTGAGAATTACTACTCACTATTACACATGGTCCATTCCCGAGATCTATAGCCACCCTCGATTTGGCAATCTCCATACAGGACTAAATGTGATAAGAAATGAATTATACTATTGATGAGGTCCTTAACAAGGTAATAACCGCGCTCCCCAGTCAATAATTATTCCGATAAGAATATCTTTATTATGAAAATGCCAACTGCAGCAGAAAGTCACAGCACCAAAACAATACCCAGTGGTGTAATTGCCTTTGTCTGAAATTATAGTTTTCATTAAATGGAATGCTGCATGTTATTGATTGTTTAAATAAGACTCGATATCTTCCTGTTTCAAAGCACTGTGAAATTGCATGGCATTGTAATATTCCAAAGCATTGTTGTGTCTGTTCATCAATGTTATGAGATTCACACTATAACGAGTCAAGGACTATTGGCCACAATAACTGCTGTATCTAAATGGGCTAATTTTATGGGGTTAGATCAAGAAAAAAAAAAAAAAAAAAGCAAATCGCTGCCTCTCTCCTCATGACCTCATCTACTTTGTGAACAGAATGGAGAGGGAATATGACAGACATGTGCTGCGTTCCATTCAAAGTCAATGTGGGATATTCCCACTAAAGCCATAACCCAGCTAACAGGGTAAAGTTCTCAGAACGTTGGCTGATGTTCTGGAAAGATTCTCTCAAATTAATGAACAAACATTCTTCAAGTAACATTAATAGAACATTAGTTCAAAGTTATCTGGTTTTTAATAACTTTCTCTAAAAATCGTTATGCACAAAAACCTTATTGATGCATCTTTGATGGATACATTGTTCCTTTTTTTCTGAAATGTTGTCGTCGCTTGTTCATGTAACATTTTTAAAACATTACTACTTGCTACTTGATTCAGAATGTTCAGAGAACTTTCAAAACTAGCAAAACTTAATGGTAACATTAGCAAAATGTTCTTGGAACATAATTTTGTTAGCTGGGAAAGGCCTCTGCGTTATGCATAAGGAAAAAATGGCAGTTTCTGTTTCTGTTTGATTGTCAAAAAATAAGTCTCAAAACAACAACACTGTTTTGAGACAACCAATACTAACGGTTATTTTGTATGCTTACATTTTAGTCAACAGATTCAAATCAACAACAACAAAAAAAAATTTACTGTACACACCTGTCTTGGCAGACAAAAGGTTTAGCATCTTAAAAGAGTACAAATCAGAGATATTTTATGTTTCGTATGTTCAGTTGCATTTTTCCATGAGTTGTGAGCTTCATACTTTTGGTTCTTGTTGATCTAATGACTGGTCCCTGCTCTCTCCATGGCTGTTGGGTTGGAAGTCTCTTGACTCCTTCATACTCGAGGTATATTCTGAGATCTGTTGAAAGGCATTGTGTTTAAATTTCCTACATTGCAATCTAAGAGAATCAGTGGTCAAAGCACAGTAAAGAAGACACAAAGTAAAATGGGTTTTTTAAATATTCAGATTCTATGCTGTGAAGGCATTACTAGGGTGTAAACAAAAGTTTATTTTACCTTATTGGTTCTGGAAGGGGAGGACCTTGTTGAAAAAACTGCATTTTTATGGTTTTTGAAGTTTTTGGCAGGGCTATCACTTCCTGGTCTGGGGTCTTTGTAGGAGTTTTGTTCCTCCTCAACTTCTTTTACTTCCATCTGTGGGAGAAGAAAGCATTCAGCTTTTTCATTGTTGCATCCTAATTTTGGTATTCGATAATCTTTATGACTGAAATGTGACATCATGTATATTGCTTGTCGTTTTCACCTGCTCAATAGGAAGATCCACCTTCATATTTTCATCTTCCAGTACTTCAGATGCTACTACTGCCTCCTTCCTTTTGTTGGTGGATCTGAAGACACTTTTTTCTGGAGAGGGCGATAAATCCTAATTACATGCTAATCATATGTTGGATGCATCCATTAGTACACAAAATTCTCTTCATTTTTAAAAGCATCCAAAGTTTCATATTTAGAAAAGTTGAGGACTGCATCAACTATCATCGTAAATATTTAATCTAAAGCAACCATTAAGGATTTTACGATAAACAGATAGGAGGTGCATGTTTTTCTAGCGTTTCACAGGCCCGTATGATAGAAAACATTTAAAATCAGAGCATTAAGTCCATTAGTCCATTAGTAAGAACCTTGAGACCCTGTTTCCACTACTGAGCTTCGATGTTCGCAGTGAACAAAATGACACTTTAAATAGACAGGCTCTGTTGCGACTAACTACAAATCAATTCATGTTTGTTACAAAAAGCTCAATATCTTCTCTCAAAACATAGGCTATTAACACAGAAAAAAAAGATGAAACGTCTTGTTTCAGCAGACAAGACATGAGGGTTAAAGTGATAAACATCCTTCAGCATTACCCAGAACACTTCACCTCACATCAAATCAAGTCCGTCCAAGCTCAGCACTTCACAAAGCATTTAATGGGCTTTCTTGATCCTGAGATGCAAACTGCATTCATCTGTGCCTTCGACATTCAAAGGTAAGACAATCTTGGCTAATGATAGGCTGACAGCAGATGCACTCCTCCTCCAGTAGGTGATGGGAATGGCTCTCGCAGTCATGGCATGTTTGATTACACCTCTGCAGCGATTGATGTAGTTAAAAGGAGGTTTTCTTGTTTTATTTTTTCAGTTTCTGCCATTAGGAATGGCATTATGTGGATCTTCTGCCCCATGGGACATGATCAAGTATCCAGAGTAGGTATGAGCCTTCATCGAGGGGCTTTTATAAGCATGGCTGCAGACATACCGTCCGAGGCTAATGCGAGATCTGCATGAGTGAGGGAAACTCAACTCCATCACAAGGACTGCTGGCTCGGCTCTTATGAGCAAAGTGA